CTTCTCTTCCTTCCCTTTTCTATCTATCTCTGTCCATCTCATTTCTCTATCTTTTTCTCTATATATCTATCTATCTATATGAGTCTGAGTCCGTACTATATACTTAATATATTATATTGCCTTACTATAAGGATTGGACTGAAGGTTTTCTCTGTGTATTTTTTGATTGGCCGATATTTCTTTTTTTTTATATTTATGTATAATATATATTACTTTGTGTTATTTCTCGGGTTTTATTCGTTTCACAACTAACCGGAGTATTAATTACTAGGCACGTTTCGTACGTATGTGTGCGGCATGCGGCATGTGTATGTACGTCTGTGTGTGTATGTGGTGCGTGTGTATGTATGCCTGTCACACATAAAATACGTGTTGATTTGTAAGGTCTTGGGTAGACGCGCATGCAGTTTCGCATGGGAGAAGGCATCCCTGTCGTTTTCTCTCTTTCTCTCTTTTCTCTCTTTTTTGTTTTTTTTTTATTTTATTTTATTTATTTATTTTTTTTCGTTCTTATCCGCGCCTTCGAGATGCATGCTATTATATTCTGCGTATAAGAGTATCCTCCGTTGCTTTGAAACCCGGAAGGTCGGCGTCATTTGTGCGGGCATCGACATAATACGAGCGTACTCGTACTATTTCATAAACGGCGAACTCGGTAAGAAAAACGTCTCTGCTTCTATTTCAATGTAACTGCGATCTTACATCTCTGTGCACCTCGACCATCGGCATGGGCACAACAATCTTCATACGATGTTTTATTTTATTTTGAACAAGGAGAACTTGTATGAACGGTAATCATTACACGGAGTGGTCGCTCGTGGTGCACGTGGCGGTATCTTTTTGTCGAGAACCGAAAATGATTTTCTGTTAAGATTTCTGTTAATAAAGGTATCACTAATTTTCACAATTACGCAAAAATAAGACGTCTTATAGATTGTACTCTTGGGGAACGCAAGTATTTAAAGAGCAAATGTTTAATATTTGTAATAATTGCATGATATAATAATTATGATTAAGAGTTTCATTTTTATAGTTATTATTCTGTGATGTTCAGTTATAATAATTATATTTATAGTTCTACCAAAAAATTATACATAGTTGACACGAAATTTTAGTTAATAATATTAATAATTTCTATAATAGATCTAATACTAATAATTTCTGATAATATAGATTCTGGTAATTGCAATCGTTTTTTTTCTCAATGCAGTAGATGATAAATTGTTATTTTTCTTGGATAAATATTAAATGAAATTTCTTGAATAATATGTCGACATTTCGAAAATCGCAAGGATTAAATTTATCCGTGCAAAATTAATTAATTAATCAAGCATAGTTTTCAACAAACAACATCGCCACGTTCGCCAGCAGTGCGCCAATTACCGAACGCCCTGTACGTACTTATCTTCACTTGCGTTACATATAATTCATCTGCCCGAATAACATAAGATGTGACGACGACTTTTTCTCTTTCAAATCTCACGCGTTGTTTTTTTTTTTATTCCGTATTAAAACGTAGGCGATATCGCGATAAACTACGATCGTTTAAAATTCGTATTGGTTCTAAGCGATTTTTTTTTTATTTGCTCGTAACTGTCCCTCTCAATCCGTGAGACGACTAATGCGAGATTCATCCGGAGTCAGTCTCGAAACGACAACAGGTCGATGCCCGGGCGATGCGCCGCGCGTTCTCGGCTCTTTCATGCGCGAGATCGGATGTCAATCGTACGGACGACGGGCAGAATATCGTACGAAATAAGATCAGGAGTTATCACGCCAAGAATAAATCTGACAGCGCGAAGTTGTAATCAGAAATTACAATTCAAGCAGGGCAAATCACGATAACGTCAAAAATGACGTTAAAGTGAATCATGACTGATTGAAAAAGGATTTAACAATCATTTTGAAATCATTTTGGAGTCATTTTGACGTCATTTTGGTATTATTATGATTTGTATTCTGTTTCTGGTTAAGTAAGTCCTCAGTAATTGTTGCCTATATGATTGAAGTAAATCTTTAAAGCTATGACAAATCTTAAAGAGCATAGCAATTCAAGGAACACATAAAAGTCAACAAAAAATTAAAATGACGTCAAAATGATGATTTTTGGTTACAAAATTTGACTATTTTATTTAAACATCATTTTGACTTTCTCTTGACTTGGTGTGTTCCTTGGAAATAGCAGCGAGCTTTCACTCAATCGTGTCTTCCGATTGTGCCCTTCATAATATAATCAATTATATTGTTAATAATTTTAATTTTATCAAAATCATCGAAGAGATTTCAACGATCGCTACAATTTTCCTCTGGACAATCTCGCGCTGTCGCATCCTACAATGTGAAATACTCGGTAAACATCGCGTTGGATCTTCGAGAAGACTTCCACGATTTTCCTTGGCCTTTTTACATGATTCGCGATCCTTGGCGTGGTTCACCCTCGATTTTTGGCGCGTCCGCGTTAACAACAAGAAACGAAGACAACAAGAAAATTTTTGCAAAGAAATAAGAGAACTTTCTTTCTCTCTTTCTCTTTGTCTCTCTTTTCTGTTCTCTCCGCGCGGTCCACGATTATGACCTCTGACCTCGGATTTTTGATTTTTGGTTTCTCTGTTTTTTTTTTTAAGTTGACTAATACCGGACAGCAATCGATGCCAAATGTAAAAGAGCCCCAAACGAGTACTGACTTGTAACACGCACAACGCACGCACAAAACGTATAACCGACCCGCAGGTAATTATCTAACGGAATTAATCATATTTACGTATTATATCCTACGATTGTGCCTTTTTTTTTTTCGTTCACTTATTGCGATTCACGACTCATCATTGCGCTCTCTCTCTCTCTCTCTCTCTCTCTCTTTCTCTCTTTCTCTTACTCTTTCTCTCTTTCTGTCCGTCTTTTTCTCTTTCTCTCTTTCTATGGCTCTCTATCTCTCTTTCTATGACTCTCTCTTTCTCTCTCTCTCTTATCCATCTCTTTCTCTCACGCGCCTTTTCTCTTTCACTTTTCTTTCATCGTTCACTATATTCTGCATTTCCATGATTTACGCTCATTACGTCTCTTATCGTTCATCGTCTCGTTCATAATCATGCTCTCTCTTCTGTCACATCGTTATTACGCATGCACATTATTCGCACATATACGCATGACATAGAAAAAAAAAGACGAAATTCGACTCGCGATCATCCGATCGTACGATCGTGGTGTATCGAAGTGCGTCTTCGTCGCAAAAAAACGTTCACCGATGGTTCAACGAAACGCGAAGTCCAAATGTGAATTAAATTGAATACTTGAAGTGTTAATTTGATAAAATTAATAAATGTAACTGTTAATTATGCGTTAAGATATTGCACATATAGAGGACGGTCTTTAAATACTCTAAAAGATTTTAAGAGATGATTAACTTAAGACAAAAATTTTATGTATGTAAAATGCCTTAATTTTAAAGATATATCTATGAAAAAAATGTAATTATTATAATAATTTTTTCCTCAAATTTTGTAAACTATTCGGATTATTTGGAACTTTATGTTCTTGGAATATACACAAAATTTTATAAAAATAACCCAAATAGTTTTTTGAAAAAAAAAAAAAGATGATATTTTTGCTTCCACTTTCCTTCCCTCCATCTTGTATCTTTAAAATTAAGTCATTTTGGACATACCAAGTTCTCATCTTAAATTAATGTGAAGAATCTTTTAAAATATTAGAATACTTTCACTGGAAGGACTACTCCCCTGTATAATTATCTAATATAAGAATTAGTGTATAATTCTTAATCAGTTAGAGAAATTTCAGAGTCGCCAAATAGTATGATAAAAATTATTGAATAATTTTTTACTTTCATAATAATTTTATTAGAAAAATAAATAATATTAATGAATATGTACAATGAACAATCAATCATGAGGCAATATTGGACTTTGCGTGATCCGTGTTTTCAAGTATCATCACTCTGTTATCTCTTTTTCGCAATTCATTCTTCCTCCAATCTCATTATTCGGACCTTCACATCGAGACGCCACTTTCTACGATCATCGCTCTCGTTGTCAGAAAAAGCATCCACAGCGACGGCATACTGCAAACGAGAAAGTGTATCATGATACACGACACTTTCAACATCCGGTACTGGACAACTTCCGGTCTGCACCAAGCACCAAGAATCAAATTTAAAAAATGTATCTCTGTACATACGATCAAGTGTACATAGTCGATATGCGATTTTCGAAATTCTTATATTATTATCGTTCTCTCCACCCTTATACATCTATATGTGTCTCTATGTATTGTACGTCGTATCTACAAGCGCGTAAGTATCTGTATGTGTCGTTGTGTACTTTATACACGTCTTTGCATCAAAAACACGCGTCACCTCGCGAGGTACCGGAACTGAGACATCACTGGACGATCGCGTGGGATGCTTCTTCTCAACGAGAGCGCGCAAAAACAAAGCACGATTCATCCTACGATGCCAAGAGTGCGTCGCGCCAGCATGCGGAAGGACACCCGACGCGGCGGTCCACGTCCTCCAGGGGGAATCAGCTCCTGTGAGACCGCTGGCGCGACGCCGCGAGGCAGAGCCGGGTCGGCCGGCCGGCCGGCGCGACGTTCTTGGTCCGACCGTTGATTCCACGTGTCTGAACGAACAGGCAACTGCCCCTGTGCCAGCGGAACGCACTGTCGTGGGGTCAGCGGGCGTCCTCGGGGGAGGGGGCCACCCTCACGAGCCATCCGCCGACCATCAGCAGCGTCCGGAGAACGCACTCGACGCTCTGCTAGACGAGTTGCAGACCTTCTCCCGACCAAGCTCACAAATGGGCCACGTGTCAAGCAGCCTGTCGGTGCATCCAGGTTCGAACACGCTCCTGGCCGACATCGGCCGCACCTCCAGTCTCCGAGATACGCCGAGCGTCGTGGCGACCACCGGTGGCAGTGGACGCGCGCCCAACATCAGCGATATCGGTCGAAAGGGCAGCGTGGATTCCTCCAGCGGTACCTTGACCGCACCCACCGTCGGCCTGATGGGCTTGCCCGGGATGGCACCGGGCGGCACTCTACGTCGTCTGCATTCATATCCCTCGAGCTCAGACACTGATACCTCACCACCTATCGCTAGGCTGCAGGCGCTGTCGTTGGACCAACAGGTATTGCAGCAACAGCAGCAAACACAGCCAGGCATGCCGGTGCTACCACAGAACTTTTTGCCCGGACAAAAGCCGCCAGTACCGGAACGGAACGCCGAGCTGCTGCAGCTGGCGACCGCCAGAAGAGTACCGCCGCCACCACCGCCGCGCACCAGTTCCCGATCGCCTCTGGCAAGTCCTACCAGCCCGCAGTTGCCGCCCAGAAATCATCCGTGCAATCTGCAGAGTGGCAACGCGACCTTGCGCCGACCCTCGCGCAACAACAGTCTCGTCGGCAAGGAGGGTAAGCCGCCGATGGCTCTACCATCGAATGCAACTATCCTGTCCACTGTGGACCAAGTCGCTGCGTCCTCGTTGGCCCCAACCGCGCCAGGTGTCGCCGGGCCGCATAATTCGTCATCCTCGCAATCTTCCGCGGTGTTGTCAACCAGTAACTCCAGCTCTTGTGAGAGCGTCAATTCGCAGGAAGGACTGCAAAGCAAGCGCGGTCGCCAGGAACAACTGGAGCAACGACATCAGGAGCTTCTCAGGAAACAGAAGGCTCTGCAGGAGCAGTACGCTCGGCTACAACAACTGCAAAGAAACGCGGCAGGTCTCACCACTGTACCACCAGCACCGCCTGATCTCCTAAAGAAGACTGGTTCCGAGAGTAATCTCCTGGCGAAGATGGGCCTCGGCCTGAGTACGGCAAGTTCCGGATCCCTCACCAGCCTCAGCATTAAGCCTCAAATCTCGCAGGAGATCACGATCGACGGTGGTAACCAAGTAGCCAAGGTTGAGATCATCAACGGACAAACGATTCCAACGACCGGGACGGCGTCGACCAACGGCCAGGTCTCTGGTACCACGTCCACAACAGTGGTATCGAGTACGACCACCGGATCAGCTACCACCGTCACTACGTCCACCACGACCACCAGCAAGGTCTATGAGACGGACATTCTGTGACCGAGAAGCCGCTCGCTGATCGGCTGCTCGACCGTCAAGGTTGCCACTGAAATCGCGCTAGCGAGTTAACACGGCGAGGTCGCAAGACTGCTATTTTTGGTCCTCGGACAACAATCCCCAGGCAGATTGTTCGTTAAATGAGACGAGTAAGAAGAAGGGAACGAAATACAAAACCGGAGAAAATTGGAGTTCGACAACAAGGAATTGCTAGAATTAAGAAGACCAAATTGGCTGGCGGATAGGAAAGAACGCGAACCGAAGAACAGGAAGAATGAAAGGTGGAGGAAGATTGCTGCTTCCGGTATTCTGAACGACGAGGACGTCGCCGTACGCGGGCGCTTGGAGCGTCTCTTGGAAAGTAGAGTACAGCGTAGGGATTCAGCGCTAGAGACGCGAGTAATAATACCGCACTAATCGTTATGATTAAATATAGTATTAATGATTGAAAAAAAAAGAACGCGCGGCGCGAGGAAACCTTTCGATACGCGGACGCGCGACGAAGCGTCGACGTCTACCTAGAAAACGAAAGAGAGAAGAAGAAAAGAAGAAATAGAAACGCGACGCGAATCTCGCATCACGTAGCATGTTCAAGGCGGGCAGGCGGGCTATACCCCGGTTCTCGCGTCTTGCCATCGGTCTCTCAATCTTTAATTCTCCAACTTTGATTTCGGAAACGTGCCAAGTTCTCGACTTGGCTCGTACACGTCCCAGGTAGAGTTCTAAAAAATCAGAAATGTGACATAAGAAGGGATAATCTGTTATCTGCTAAAAAGTATTATAGTCTAATTGGCTATCATAATAAGGAACTAAAATGGCACTGTGATTACGTGATTTATAAAGCCAATCAGTATCCATATTAGGTGCCCATAAAGAACTAATATGATAGCAGCGAACTAATTAGATTAATCGACCCAATGTCATTTCTCTGATTTTCTAGAACTCTAGTCCCAGATAACAAGCTGATGTTATTTGTTGTCATTTTAATGACATTAGACATTAGAAAAATGACATCAGCTTGTTACTTGGTATCCACGCATTCGTACCTCTCGCAACGTCTGTGTGCCAAATATTAGAACAAAAGAGGAAACGCAGTACTCGTGTACTTTTTTCTAAGATAATTATACACCCATAATTATCCGGCTATTCGTTCTTTCTTCATCATAGTAGGGCGAGCGTAAGGTTCTACGTAGGTGATCATCGTATATAAATATTATACATATATACATACGTATTATATATATAAATATATACATACACGCGCTACACTACGCGCGGATGGGAAGGAGATTTATATGAATATATACACGTAAGTGGAGATATAGGTAGGTAGAGCTAAGTACATAATATATAAAATTGTATATTTCATATACATGAAATATATAACTCTGCAGTCGTACACATATACACGCCGCACACAAAGCTGCAGAACGATTTCTTTTTTCGGATGACGATGAAGTGACACGTATAGAAACGCGTTTGTACACGACGACGGTCCTAACGTGCACTGCAGACGTGACTTTTATCAGAAAAAACTTGTTAGAGCAATTGTCTACCGTATGTGTATAAAATATACACGCATCCAGCCACATGAATATATATAATATGTATATATATAATATATATTATATACAATATATATTATATATCTATTTATTATATACAAGATGCGTAGCGATAGGCGATCGACGTTATTCTCATTACTGATAAGGAATTTACGGATGACTAGCAAGAAAAACGCGATTTATTCAGGAGATACGAAAGAATATGAAAGGACACGGATACAGTGGAAGTGAGAAGCTGGCACAATACGAGATGATCGACAAAAAGATCCAGAAGGGACCAGGAAAGCGGTAATAAGATGCAAGGAACAAATTCCTTAGATCGAATCACCAATCTGACGAATCACTATCTCTCTCCAGATTTTCAATTTTATTTCTATTTCGACATGTAGGACCATTATTTAAAAACTTATTAGAGTTGAACAATTCTCTTGTAGATAATAAAATCAGAGAAAAATCTAGAAGAAGAAAAATACACATAATGAAGAAAATGAGTCTGCAATTTTTACTTCACATTTACTTTTTCAACTTTGTCGAAAAATGTTTTTATTTAAAGTCCATTATTTTTGAAGTCTTCTAATGGTAACAATTTCTTCTACTAAATCTTTACAGTAACGAGTCATGGATTAAAAGAAAGAAAAAGAGAGAGACAATTAATTGATTCGGAATTAGCGTGAATTAATAGTGGAATCAGTGTCGATATAATTGATTCGAAACAATGTGGCTGATAACGATCGAGAGACATGGCAAGACGCGTGATAGACCTGCCGGCGAACTTTTCCGGCGGCCAAAGGTGTGCGTTAGGAAGGATATTGCTCAATATTTGCCAACCCGAACGCAGCTCCGCTACATACATCTCGTAACTGACGCCGTGCAACATGCATCCCGCGTCGGATTATTTAGATCGCAATCATTAGCTAATTATTACCTTGCGCCCTACTATCAGATGACGATCGTCAAGTCATCGAGCTTCATCGTCTCTCCATTGTCACGATTGCCGAAGGATCGAGCGTTTTGCGATCAAAGTGGCAAATCGACATTTCGTGATCGAACTGTTATTCCTTACAGAATTCAATTTATTCCTTACAGAAATTCAATTTAAAATTGAAAGACAGTGATTAATTACTTATTTTGAGTAGATATTAAAAACATTATTATCCTTTGCTTTTAATATCTACTCAGAATAAATAATTAATCACTACCAATTTAATATTAAAAAGTAGTGATTAATTATTTATTTTAAGTATTAAAAACACTGAATAATACTTTTAATATCTACTAGGAAAAAGTAATTAATCACTTCCTTCTAGCAGTAAATTTCTGTGAGGAATGCTAATAATTGGCATACTAATATTCGTTGATAATTAAGTTTTTAACACGATCGAACCGAAGAAGAAATGGCCCATTAATTAAGAAGCTCGCACATAAGTACAATTGAAGTCTAAGAAATTGATATTAATGAGAATTTAATGTAACAATCCATCGCGAGAACTTCGTGCGTCACCTTGATCGTTTTTCGAGTACGATCGCCGATTTTGCGCTATTTTATCGCAGCTTATACCGCACAAACTCGTCATTGCGCCTTCTGGACAACGCAAATATTTATATATACATCCCTCCGAAATTCCGAGTGAAGTATCTAAAGGTATGCTCTCCTCTCAGAGATACCTTGGATTCTATTTGCGTTGTTTAGATCTGGTGCTCGATGCAGTCGCATATCTTGCTCGAGAAGGGCCTAACAGCTGACACACATTCGCGTATATACGTATTTATTTATCTTATACGCTTCCATACCTTACGTTAACCCGGTTTGCCGTAGACCGATTCGACAAGGCTTTCGTATCAACCCTCGGATGCGTTCGCGGATTTTATTTCGACAAACGGATGATTTTCTTTGGTCGAGATCGCCTAGAGATCGCGCATTTTATTGGATTCTTTAGCGAATCATATCTTCTTCAAAGTGAATGGGATATTGCCGATTATCGAAAAATTGTAGAATAAAATTTTTTAACTGTCGATTGTCAAATGAATCAATGATGAGAATCAGTGTTCTATATTTGACTGTTTTCTAATTCGTAGATTCCTTTCGTTAAATTACCTAGTTGATAGTTAAATAAGAATTAGGAAATTATTGAACATAAGAATTAGGAAATTATTGAAAATTGTTATTAGGAATATTAGGATCATTAGGAGTGGATCATGCGCATGCTGCGATGTTGTCTCTAAGCAAGATCGCGAACTGATAATTGCATCGATATAGTTAGTACACGTGACGCGCCTTTTGCTATTCGCTGAAAAAAGAGAATGGAAATTAGTATTAGCGCATCTCGCGATCGAAAGCTCGTTGATCTTATGATTTGTTGGTAGCAATATTAGTGTAATAAACGACGTGGGCCTCCATTGTCGTGATCGATTAATATTTATCTCGCAGTCGAGAAGAAAGCTGCTTCGTAAAGCGGAGTAACGATTGGTCGCATCCGGGGATTGAAACGCGCGGCGAAAAGGCATACCCTATTTATTTTTTACTGTCACACATGTACGAACACACAAAAATACACACGTACACGCAATCCGGAGCACGTCTTTATAGGGAAATAATAATTACCTTACACGCAGTAAGAGTATACTAAGGATAAGGCGAATGATAATGATTGATAAACGAACATTACGATTTGCGAGTGCTTATCAAGTATTATAACGAAGCGAGACAGTTCTTTCTTCAGCGCGAGGATGAAGATAGAAGCGAAAAAAAGGGAAATTAAAAAAAAAAAGCGAAAATATCTCGTTCTTTTTTCTGTTCCATTCTCTTCCTTTTTTTCATGCAAATCATCAGGTTTGTGATATCGTTCCACGATTGTAACTTACAGCGTGGCGCCACAATCATAATGTTACATTTGTATAAAGCTACTTTGAACGGTGCATTTTCGTTCGCAGTGAGACCCCGAGTATCGATAGAGCCGTTATATTCGTTTAATCGCTAGGTATCAATCGATCTCCCTATTCTCATCCATACTTATCCCCATCTCCATTCTCCTCCCAATCGAAGCGAAGACAAAGCGTTTCGCAGGACAGATGCGCATTGTCCGAGTTTGCGTTTTTTTTCCTCCCTTCCTCTGTTTTCTCCGTAAACGCGAATTAGCGAAAGGTCATTAGTGTAATGTTTTCTGACGAATCCTGTACGCCAAATCGAATTGACTTGTTACATTTGTAAATGTTTGTAAGTACTACCGTACGTAATAAAATAATCGAGTAATAATCATCGAATTACCCTGACGACCACCGTGTGTCTGTTATCCAATTGATTAAACCTTATGAACAACGAATAAAGCAAATCATTACATACTGCAGCATAGTCTCACTCTTATTCTATAGGATGTCCTATAAAAGAGGAGCAGCGGACTGTTCTCGGAAAAGAATCCACTTCCCTGACGAAGATCAGAACTGACAATTATTGGACAGAACAGATTATAGACAAATGGGCTCCGATTCTGAATTACCTGTATTTTCTTATTAATCCTTTGTAGATCGGCGATCCCGGGCTCATCCCTTTGGGCTCATTCCTTTTTACTTCATAAATTGCTTGTTCAAGTTTCATAAAAACTTGATTTATGAATTTATGGCTAATTTGATGATGCTTTATTCGAATCTGAGGTAAAAAATAAAAAATTCAAAATAGTGGATTCTATATGGTGGACAGAATTTTAAAAACATATTTGATTATATAAGATTCGATTTTAGGGAGTTTTTAATTTTTTCCAGTTTTGCTTTATTTGAAGCTCATCAATGCTATGTGAAGCGTAAATATAATAGTTATTATTGATTTCCAAACTTTTTTAAATTTTGATTACGAACTCTGTGACACTAGATCTTCTTTCATAGAGATTATAATACTTTTGACATTTTCCAGTTTTAGACTACATTCAGAGACCAAGAGAGAATCTCTTAAAAATCGAATCTTATGATATTAGAAAATTTATAGAAAATAAGATTTTCAAAATTATTTTACGTTTGTTCGCGTTGCTTAAATTTTTTATATTCAGAAACTTCTCTTCGCCCGAATATTTATTTATTTCACTGTAAAAATTTTTGGTTAAATGCAGATCTTTTGTTAGGAAACTCCAGTCTCTTCTCAAAAGGTAAACATCTCTTCACAATTTATCTGTTTTATCAATTTAATTCATTTTTCTAATCTCTAAACGATGCTTTTAAGGGAGAATAATATTTATCGAGGTAAGCAACTTTTCTTTAGGGAATAAAATAAAAATATTTAACATATCCAAATCTTTTATTATCGGCTTATTATATTATATATTACTATTATGTTTGGGATGATGGATTGAAAAAATGGAAGAATAATTACTAATTATATCAACGAAAAAGAAAATACGAGATATTTATTTATTTATATTTACGTTTTATCCGTTTCCGAAGAAATGCCATGGGCCTGTTTAATACCTTCCGCTACAATTTCACGTTCCTGCTGTAATTCTTTGTACGATTGCAAGAGCTTTTGGATCTTATCCTTTTTTAGCGATTCGAGGCGTACGTAATGCATAATGAAGTTCACATCGTCCGTGTTCTCGCACTGCTCAACTGCCGACTTGGTTGTAGGATGAACCATATAGTACAGACGTATCAGCAGCGCAGCATCCTTGATCCGATTGGTCTCGATCATTTCATACAATAGATTGTCGATGTTACTCGTCCACACTAGATGAAATACCATCGGACCGAAGTGACGCGTGGATCTTAAGACGTCGAAATGACTCTTGGCATTTATGTGTTCGTAGACTTCTTGAGTGACTGCTTGGTAATCCGGATCGTCCGGCTCAAATTGCGTGCATGCGCGGTCCAGTATGAACTCGTACTCGTTACGATTTAACAAATCCTGTGAAAAATACGGCAATATATCAATGTTTATTTCATGCAAGCATTCTTCTTCTTTCCTATTCTTAAGGCTTCTGTTAACTCATTATTATCTCAGAAACAAAAAAATATACAAATTCTATAAAAATATATTAATATGGAAATATGTTATTATAAAATAACACTTATAATCAACTTGTAAAGTATACCGAAAATCCCTTTTATGTCATTAATAAATAATATATAGAAATGAATTATGCTG